CCCAGGACATTAGCAGGATGCTGGGTCGGAAGTGGAGCAGCCGGGACTAGAACCGGTGCCCACATGCAATGCCAGTACTGACCACAGGCAGAGGTCTAACCTGCTATACCACTGTGCAGGCTCCAGCTTTTCTATCCCATGCTGTGCTTTGATGTGGTTTGCCCGAGCAAATGCACAGGTTGGGAAGGAGTGGCGTTGTGGCGGTGGTGGTGGTGGCTCCTGGAATGTTTATTTCACTGGGGGTGCTGCTGTGGGAAGGATGCCGAGTGAGTCCTCCACAGCTTGCCCTGAGCCTCTCCCTCCCTCTCTCTCACCCTGGCTTCCTGTTGGGTGGTGTGGCTGTTGCATTCTGCGTGTTTCCAACACTGTCCCCCACCAGCACAGGACACAGTTGAGGGCCTGGGCCACAGCTGAGCACGTGTCTCATGCTGTGAGCTAAACAAACCCCTTTTCTCTCTAAATAATTTTCCTCACATTTTCCATTGTAGCAATGTAAAAATAGAGTAGTACATTATAAACAGATTAAGTGAACAAAAACACATTACAGCTAGCATTTTCTGAGGGTTACCACACACACCAAGTTGTACATCCGTGTAGAAAACAAGACAGTGCACACAGAAGCCAGCATGTTCACAGAGGTTATTCCGGTGAGATGAACAGGGATTCCTACTTTCTAAGTCTGGATAATTAAAATCAAACACATGAGCATGTTCATGCCTTTAGGTCCCTCAGAGAGCTATGCAGTCCACCCCTCTCAGCCCTGAGCCCTGCGGTCTGTCTGCATTTTGTTCATCTTCAGCCCCCAGACCCGATGACATCACACGCACGGCAGGCCTGGAGGGCCTCTGCTTTTTATCAAGAGCCTGATTTCTGCCTCCGACAGCTTACACTCCTAACGTCTCCGCCCTGACACTGCCCCGCATTGCACAACTCTCCCTCTCCCTGAAGTCTGCTGGCAAATCATCCTGAGATTCACCGTCTGCCTCTGTTCGGCAAACCCAAGGCTCCCAAGGCCTCCAGCCCCTGTCAACCTCACACGGTTGGTATTTGGGCTTGGCCAGCCACTTACTGGGCAGGGCCATCCTTCCCCATCACACAGCTGCCTTCAGGGCTTGACAAAGCCAGCAGGGTTTTCCAACGGCACGCTAAGGGAACAGCTGGAAACCACCCGGCGGGGTGACTCCCTCCTCGGACCTCACCTTCCCTCACCCCCATGGCTTCCCGGCCCCAGCAGCCTCCTTGCTGCAGTTCCTACAAACTCCAGAAGGCAGGGATTCGGGCAGGTGTGTGTAGGGCAGTGCATCTGGCCCTTGCACAACCATCCTTGTACTCAACGCCCTTCTTTATTCACTGCTTGAGCACACTTCAACCTGATGCAGCCTCCCTCAAGGTGCATGAGCAGTGCCATTAGAGCTGTACTGGTTCACAGCACTCCCTCCGCCACAAGCCTCTTCCCCCAGGAGTTTGGGAATCTGCACTTGCCCACCATAGCCTTCTGTATCTTGAGCAAGTCGTGGACTCTGTGCAGCAGAGGAGGGTGGATAAGATTAGCCAGCTGAGCCATCAGGCCAGCAGTAAAGGCAATTTCTTCAGCTGTGGAAAACATCTAGGACAACACCTGTCAGAATGGCATAATCTGAAAATCTTCAAACAAGTCAGTTTTCTTGTATTTAAAACAGAATGGAAGTGTGTGTGGTCTAAATTGTGTCTACAAGGTCCTATTCTGCTAGCCAACTTTTCCAAAACGTGAATCCTTGAGAGGGTGGCCCTCCTCACGACAGCAGCCAAGCAGGCAAGCCCCAACATGTACTTGTAAATGTTGAAATTCCATTGTGAACATTCTGTCACCCAAAAGGTGGGTAGGTGCAGGTGCCGTGTCCCCTCCAGGGGAGTGCTGCCCTGGGCCCCAGGGGCCTCTTTCACAGGTCTGGGGCGCCATGGTGGCCTGGACACCCGCAGGAAGGGGCAGCTATCTTTCTCCCAAACTCTCAACAAGTCAGGTCTCTGCACCCAGGCCTCATATGCGTGACTGCACGTGGAGTGGACAAGTCCTTCCCTTTTGTCCTACACACAAGGTAACACTTCGCAACCTTCCTGCCCTAGGCAGATTCCCCTAAGATGAGCCCAGCATGACAACATGGGGCCCACAAGCTTTGCAGGGCCTCACGCTCAGCAAACGACCAGTTTCCAGGCACTGTGGTCCCATACAACACCAAACCTCAGAGGCAGGGAGTTCAGCACTGGAAAGTTTCCAGCATTTGTGGCAACTCCCTCAAGGGACCCCATTCCTGCGGTCCTTGGCAGCCCCTCTTCTTTGCTCTCTTGCAGATATGGGTTTTTTCCCAACAATTTCAGTGGCCCAAGGACCCTCCACCTGCCGCCCTGTCAGCAGTGACCTGTGTTTGAGGGACTGGGAGCAGCACTTGACTTCCTGAACATGTCTACATGGAAGGTAATGCACATGGCTAGGGTGAACTACACCTCACAAAAGTTCTTCTCGCAGGGACCTCACATCACACACACACCTGCAGGGAATGGGGCTCTCCAGCCAGGAATGTGAACTGGCTAACAAGCCTTCCCCAGCCTAACACAGGGCAAATACCTTCCTTCTCATTAAATGGAACATCTAGACTGTCTGGGTGGATCAAACACAAAGTTTGCCAAGAGACTGGATTGAGGAAATAAGAAAACTACAAGCCGTCAGAAGCGGCTTCTGACCAAGCACCCTTACCACGGGTGGCAGAGGTGTGTGAGAGCGTGGATGCACAGAACTCCTGCTAGCTTGGCCTTAGCCAGACACCCATGGTCAGCACGCCCAGCATTCGCCCGCCGACGACAGCCACCACTGAATGAAGGATGAGTAGGCATTCAGGTGGTTTGAGATTTTATTGAGAAAATAGCTCTTCTGACATCACACCCAGTTTCTCAATGGTCAGGATAAAGGCTTGCAACATTGATCAGCATCACTTCTGGGTGATTACATGCCATCTCGGAGGAAAAGTACATTCACACCAGGCAAGGCTCACATACTGGGACTGTGGCCAACACTGGTTACACTGAGATTATTTTATAATGAAACCACGACATTTCCATGCTAGAGCAGATATTTAAAATGTTGAGTGTTCAAAGAAAAGTGTGGTGTGTCAGAAACACGATGCATTTGTTTGCATCTGTTTCTTACTCTCCTTTACTGTCAGCCTTGCAGAAAGCTAGTTAACTTACTCATTCCCCTTCAAGCTGAACAGACACGTGAAGACATTATTTGTTTTACAGAATGAAAACTCAAAGCAGCAGCAGAAAGCTCATCTTGGACGATGCCTACTTGCCAGAGAAGCTGGCAGTGGCGCAGGCAGAGCCGAGCTCCCTGACGCTGCAGCAGCCCTGGCAAGTCACGCTCCGTGACTTCCAAGACCCCGGGCCATGGAAGCACAATGATTAAAGGCATTTCTTAGACTGAAAGGGCAAAGTGAAGGGATCTGCACCCAGATCCAACTGTTCTGCGTGTGGCTGGGTGTGCACCGTGACCACAAGGCAAACTGCTCCAGTGACACACCCAGCACAAGGACTGCAAATGTGCAACTGTGTGTGTGTCGCATGGATAGGCAAAAACCACACACACAAACACACACACGAAACAACCCTCCACCTGTTTGGCGATCCACTTTTGTACTGGGAACCGGGGAAAGCATAAAGATTTCATTAACTTTTGCAAATGTGGGGACCTGCTAAGGTTTGCATTCTTGAGGACAGGATCCACTGAGAATGTAGTAGGAACCATGAGTCTCCCCACTAGGCACGCACAGGGACATGAACGCAGCTAGTACAGACAGTAAAACGTCTGCGTGACAGTGGCCAAACCCTGACCCCACGGGCTACCTACTGGAAAAACTTCCTACAATAGAATAAACCAGGGAGGTGGCATATGAAGTAGAGCTGCTTGTGAGACACGCAAGGGCACCCCCCAAACCTACTTCCTGCAGCCAGTGTTCCCCATGTGTACCTGGCCACAGGACCCACACTCACACCATCAGAAACGGCTTCTCTGAGGAATTACAGAGGTTTTCAACTCCAAATGAACAACACTGCGGCTGTAGGTCAGACATGTTCTGCTATTGTCCTACAAGACACTGGCCATGTTGCTGAGTCATCTCAGCATCGCCCTCTAGTCATGGGTACTTGAGCCAAAGTCACCTCTTCTCGGAGCACTGCTCAGGAACACTAATTCTTGCCAGTCGCCCAGGGTGCCCAACTGTGTCCTAACTCCTTGCCGGCCATGCCCATCCACATCATCACCGTGCTGCAGGTGCAGGGCAGCTGGCCCATGCATCCCAACAAACAAGGGTGTAGGGCTGCCAGAACTTCATCCTTGCACCCTTGTGGAAACCAGCACTTTGGAGGCCTAACAGAGTGTTAACTAAACCTTTGAGGAAAATAGAGAGATGGATCTGTCCTTTGTTTCATTGTCATTAAAAAAATCTCTCAAAAAAATCTACATAAGAAAACAATGAAAACATGGAAAAGGAACAAATCTCACCAAGATGAACAACAACAAAAAAGCTCAAAAACCAACTCTTAATGTCAAGAACATCCCCACAGACCACTTCTTACGAGCAAACCAAGAGACCTTGGAGCTGCCAGCAGAAGGCATCTGACACACCACAGCAAGTTCACGGCTTCTTTGGGGGCCCAGCTGCCTTGGGACAGAGGAGCCAGCAACACACCTCACCCTCAGAGGCCAGTCCAGGGCCGGGGAAGACCTGAGCCTCCAGCACGAGGAGCTGCCAGAACAGGGGGAGGCGAAGGAGAGCGTCCCAGGAGCACCTATTACAACCCCGGGGGAGGAAGACCTGAGCCTCCAGCGTTCAACCCATGCCCCCCACATGGGTGGCAGGACGCAGTGGGCAGCGCAGGCTGGCGTGACTGAGGCTCACCCGTCCCCCAGGTGGCAGCGCAGCAGCGCGGCTGCTGTGAGCTGAGAGCTCAACCCACGTCCCCCACATGGGTGGCAGGACGCAGCAGGCAGCAAGCCGTCACTGCTGACACCCAGGGTACATGTCAGCAGGAGTCTGGACAACGAATGGAGCCAGGACTCAAATCCACATGCTGCAGGGTGGGAGGTGGGTGTGCCTCGGCCAAAGGCCCACTCCCCTCACACCCCACAAAACCAACAGTCCCACATCCCCCACAGTGTCCTCAGCGCTATTTAAATCATCCATTTTTATGAATGACAGGTAGAGTCAGTGTGTTGAAAGACATTCATCTCAAAGGAATTGTCTGGCCCTTTTTCCCAGCCTTGTTGTATCAGCACAGCCAGCAAACCAACACATTCCCCTTTATCCCATTACTCTCCGCCATGGGTGTCAGACAACAGGGCCTAGCACTGGGTGGGAAGCACGGCCCACACACTGCACTGCAGCATAACGCATGGGCCCTCCCCGCACTCCAGGCTGGCAGGCCCTTCAAAAGCCATGTTCAATCTAAGCAACTTCCTAACCCTATGGCTGCTCCCTGATGTAGTCTGCTCATTTATAACATCTTATTATCTCATTTGCTTATAGAACAAAATCCGTACCTAAATCGCATTTTGTTTCCTAGGAAAGGCAGTCTCATGGATTACGTCATAGCAAGTGACAGGCAGCTCAAAGCAAGGACGACCAAAAAGTAAGTCTAATTTACAGTCATCCCTTCCACTAAAAAGGAGAAATCTATTATCCTAAGACGACCTCACTTGCTTAAAATTTCAGGACATCAAATGTCACATTTCAGTTGAAGTCTGCATAAGAACTAGATCTCTCACTTTCTTAAAAATATCAAATACACTGTTTTTTTTTCTCATGGGCATCAGTTTTATTGAAAGAAAAAGAATCACGCAGACCAGTATTATCTTCTGATGCAGAGCTAAATTTACCACTCAATTTTAGAATCTGTTCATGTTGATGTGGTTCCTTCTCCTACAACTTTTAAATTTTTTTCTCGGAAACTAATTATAATTCTCCTGTTTACAAGTGTTTTACACTTGTAAGTCACTCCAAGTGCTTTTTTGGAAAGCGTACTATACATCATAATTGAAAATGACTAATCTTGAGTCAAGCATAAACAGATGTCTGATCAGTGTGCTCAGCACCCTTCCTCAACACACATCAATCAGCAAACTCTCCCAGTCCTGATTTCACACGGTTCCAGCTTGCCGCTTTTAAGAGAAAGGTGTGAGTGCCACGCCAGCAGAACTCATGCGAAGCTCCTCGGGAATCTCCCGTGACTGCATCCGAGCAGACGATGCCAGATTTTGAAGACTGGCTGTTTCTCATTTAGTTGAACCCCTCAAGGAAAAACATTTACAATGGCCCGGAGACTCCTGTGTAAAGCAGGTCCTCACTGCAGAGCAGCGGAGAACAGAAGCCGCTGAGGGCCGCCTGGCCTGGGCCGGAAGTCTCCAGGCAGAGCCTGCCTACGCAACCACATGTCTGCGGGACATGGCGGGACGGCCCGGGCACCCCACTCGGGTAAGACCCTCCTCAGAGCAGGATTCCGGCGTTAACCTCCCAGAAGTGGTTTCAGGACATGAGCACCTCGGCCACTGACATCAGCAGGTCTCTGTCTTAAGCAAACTTGCTACACAGCTCCATGACCGTGAAGTAGAGATATTCTTAATAACTGCCAGGTCTGACCATTCCTTTGGCTCCCTCAATGCAGCAAAAATACACAGAAACTAACTTGGTTGTCAGAAGACTTTCTGATGATGTCACGTGCTTCCTAGGCTCACAGGTGCTCTGTAGGTATTTCTGCTTTTCTGGACATGGTGCCTCCTGAGCAGCTGAACAACTAGGAAAGTTTCAAGATTGGACAGCCTAGTGAAGTGATCATGCTTAACAAACGTGCAGCTTTCCTGGAGTCAGTACAGCCAAGAGATGACTGGGGTGGCCATGGGCCGCGAATGAGCAGGCCTGCGCTGCCCCAGGCACCCAGGCGGCCAGGGCCCTGCAGCCCCATCAGCTAGATGCATGCTGTCTGCAGCCACCTGCAACACCGAGACACATCCTGAGGCCTCGAGGCTCAGGCTTAGCATAGCATCATTAGCACATTCCTCCTAGTGTGTCAAATGCTATACAGACTTCCTGTTGAAGTAACTGGCATTTTTCCTGTCGCTAACAGGCATCAGATTTCTAAACTGAAGAAAGAAGAAAAGCTTCAACCCAACAGCCACATATTAGTACTCAGACATGTCTGAGAAGATCAGGTTACTAAACCGGATAAATTAGCGTGAATAAATTAGGGGTACACATTCAGAACGGAATCGCAGCTTTTGGTCAGCAACATGTGGCCCAAAGGCAAGAGCCTGCCAAGGTGAGGATAGGACCTGGCATACGGTGTCCCGTGTTCCTGCTCCCACCCCGAGGCCACTGGGCAGTCCCCGCGTTGATGTCAAATGCACTGCCAAGCAGGATTACGGGCTTCCTCATGCGAAAGCTGCCAAAGGCTCCTTCTGTTAAGAGTCGTCCTCACACCCACGAGTGTGCCGTCTTGCCTGGATGCATTTCGTGCGGATGGCCACGGCCACCATGTGCTCGGTCCCAGAGCACGATGGCCATCAGGGCGACAGCCGCTGGGAGTTACTGTCTTCCTCGGCCGGAGTCAGCCTCAGCGTGGGCAGTTTCCGAGCAGGCAGCTGAGGACTCTGGCGGAGGTTGTCATCCATCTGCAGGAAGCACAAAGGATTCGTCTGACTCGTGCCATGGCACTGCGCACGTGGATTGCGGCTGCCCCGTGCCAGCTGCAGCCCGCACAGCCATAGGCTCCAACAATAACCTCTGCCAGCAGACCAGCTCTCAATAACTCTTAAATGCCACAGCTCGAACCTCAGCTGATTCAGCCTCAACAGAAAGCGACATGGCTCACCTTCACCTGGAGCGATGCCCCAGAACACGAGTTCTCCTGTCCTCAGCCACAGCATGGCTTACAGGGGACTGTTAATGGGAGGCGTCAGAGCAAGCTTCCCCGTACTGAGCTCTGCTTTACAAAACAGCCCCTCCCCGCCACGGCACCTTACTTGATCTCCAACACTCTGGAGACAGCAGGCAGCCACTGTCGCACTCTCTACGTCACACACCGGTCAGATGAGGCTGGGAAACTGCAAGTGGTCCGCCCTGAGTCGCAAGGCTGGTTTCAGAGCCAAGACCTGAAGGCTAGGCCTTCTTGTTCCAGCACTACCCTGCTCTCAGGGGCATCGCTCTGCTACTGTGACAATGACCTGTGTCCACTCCAAGGTACTTGGAGCACTCGGACCCAATGAAGCAAGGCAAGGAGACAGACTTCACTCAGCGGCCTTCCAAACTTAATGGATGCCAGGGCTGCCTCAGAGTAGCTGACCAACGTGGGCAGGTTAAGCTTAGCATCCTGGGAAGCGCCAAGGCAGGCAGGATCTGGAACTGGGCAGTGAGGGAAGCCAGTTGCACAGGAAGCAGCACCCTGGCCCAGCCCACCTTCCGAGGGCGGGAGCTCCACTGCAGCTTTGCGTGCGTGGGTGACAGCGACGCTGCCTCAACCTCTCTGGAAGCCGTCATGTGGCAGGCAGCCATGCTGCAGCAGAGGGACCGGGACTCCGGGAAGGAGAGGGCATGCAAGAGCAACTTCCAATTTCCCTATAAAGATGGCTTTTCCTTCCGGTAAGAACGGAATTCCTCAAACAGCAGTCTTTCCTTAAGATCCAGATTTTTCTGTGCAAATCATCAAAAAGCAGCATCAATAGGATTTGCTGCTCTAGTACCTTGTAGGAAACTATGACCCCCCCCACCTCTGGGGCGGAGCCAGCATGAGGGAGGGAGGGAGGGCTGTGTGCTACTGCCAACGGCCTGACACGATGGGGCACCAGCGAGCGCCTTGACCCGCCGGCGACACCGTTCCCTTCCTCTCAGGCATGAACCTGCCGCATGCAGAGAGTGGAAATTCTTGGACAGCCCTCTGACAGGTGATCTTCAGTCCCACACACTCAACATCTAATGCATTTCCTAAAATGAGATTTATGGAGTCAGCTAAAACCTGAGACAGACTGAGCTTGGCCAAACTTCAACACAAGTGAACTAGAACCATCTCACCTCCCACGTTACAACAGTCCATAAAATACTACAGAAAGGACCAAAAGCCCACCCCGCTGAATGAGAGCTGTGACCCTGGGATGGACACACTGACTGCATGGCCAGCCACCACAGAGGCCCCCACGCCCCCTACACGAGCCAGCTGAATGACCCTGGCAGATGACGGACACACTGGAAGAGCTTCAGGCCCCTCCGTGAGGACGTAGACGCACTCACAGGTACCTGCGCACACCCCGGGAACACGGCGCCTACAGCAGAACTGCAGGCCTGGGTTCTCGCGTCACACCACCTTGTTAGAGAAACCGCAGCTCTCACCTCCGCTCACCCAGCAAGAACCAAACTCGTGGCTTTCTCCCCTTCCCAATTCTTCAACATCTTGTTCACAAAGTGAACACCCCCGAATGTAGAAACACCTACAACAGGGAAGGCCAGGAAGGAGGGGGAGCAGTGCTGGTGGCCGGCAGAGGGACAGGCGCACACTGAAGTGCTCCCATAAGAGCAGCTAAGTGCAGGTGGCCACACACGGCGGGGCGGGGGCAGGTCAGCAAGCAGGGCATATTTCGGTTCTGCTTTTCTACAGCCGACTTTTTAGCATTCTACCGTGACAAGGACTAACGGTGTGGCAAAGGTAAAGCCCACACCCTGTCACATCTTCCCGACAGCGATCAGACCACTGCTGGCTTCCAAACACATTACATGCAAAAGCACACAAAACAGCCTTCTAGAAAGTAACCTCACACACCCAAAAACAAACAAAAAACAAACCAAAACTAAACCTAAAAGGCTGAGTCAGGACATGGCAGAAAGAAAAATTACAAACAAAAATACTAAAGTCTATGAAGCAAGGGGTGAAGTTAAAAGTGACCTTCTCGATCAGGCTGCACTCCTTATTGACCAGCTGCGTGAGCTTCCGCAGATTGGCGTCCACCGACTCGGGCCCGGAGGGGGAGATGCCTAGACACCAGGACGGAAACCAGGGAGGGCAGAAGAGGAGAGGGCCTTCAGCGCTGGCCGCATGGCAGTTCCTGGGGTCTCCCCACCCTCTCGCCGGCCCTCCCTCCCCCCAGGCACAAACAGAAGGGCCGTTCTTGGAGAGAGGGCTGGTGGGGCTCCACAGCCAAGCTCTGAACCAAAGGGGACACCATGTCCCTGAAGCAGCCAACGTGCCTGGCGTGTGGTGTGTGGTGTGAGCGAAGCCAGCCTGACGCCCCACTCCCTTGACCACAAGGATTTCCACAGCCACCCAGCAGGCACCTGAAGTAACAGGGCCTTAATGTCGGTGGATTCCTGAGGTCCGTCAGTTGGTAAATCTGGAACAGGACCCAAGGTTTGCTAATCACAGCTCTGAAGTAACAAGACTAAGTATTACTAAACTGGATGACTCCCAAGCTGTTGGCCTCTGTCCATATACAAATCACACAGCCTGACCCAAAGGCACATGTATGTGCCTGGGTGTGTGCTGACCTCCAAGCAAGCCAGTGATCTTTGTCACTTTGTTTCTTGTAAAGATGGTTCCGGCCAAATGCGGTGTCCCAGTGAGTTAAGCACGAGGCCCCCACGCTGTCAGAGAAGCACACACAAGGTGAGAGCGTCCTCGATTTACTATACCTCCAGTCTGACGCAACCAGTTCTCAAGCAGTGGAATCAGGGGAGTGTACCTCACCCAAATCAGGCTGCTGCTGATTTCTGGTCATGCAGGAAAATGCTAGAAGCAGCAGGTAAGAATCGTTTAGGATGGTTGCCATATATTTTAAGGACCTAGTACCTACAGTTTTTGTGTTCTAGAAGAAAATGAGCCATGTCCAAAGGGTAATTCTTAATGGACAAAAAGGGAAAAGTGTGTAAGACGCAGAGGACTGGCACCAAGGCAATGACCCCTTTCTAGAGAATTCAGTCAAGCCAGGATGTGCTACCTTGCACACTTCCTTACCCATGAGGGCAGGCGAGGCTGAGGAGCATGTGCAAGGACCCTGTGCAGGCCCGTGCCAGCTGGCGCAGAGGTGCAGGCCTGTGCCAGCCGGCGCAGAGGTGCAGGGCCGTGCCAGCCGGCATGGAGGTGCGCACCTGCAGGCGTGAGCCTGAAGTAGCTGTGTAGGATGCCATCACAGAAGCGGCACAGGTTGGAGAGCTGCTTCAGATGCTCCTGCAGCTGGACTTGTGGAAATCGCACTTTATAGAGCGGGGCGAGGAAGCCAAACACGTAGGCGTCCAAGGAGCAAGGCCTGGGGACACAGGAAGGACCTTTCCGTGAAGCACACAGGAAAATGTTGATTTAGTATGTTCAGAATGAATTCTTCATATACATGTGTCAGTTCTTAAGTCTGCAGTAGTCTTTTGTAAATGTTTGAAGATTTCACAATATAGTCTTTTAAAAACCCTTTTTGTTTAAAAAAAAAATAACATAGCTAGGATTTTATGCATGAAATAGTTTTTTAAAAAGACTAGTCATTTTTATCTGGAAGAAAATCACTCCTATTAAACTGAATGCATGGTAAGAACATTGCAGTGTTGTAAATTTGCAGCATGTTAAGTCAGTTAGATTGCCACTGGTAATTAAAATTTCCTGGAATAAAAGCCCATCAAATGGTCTTTAACAAAAAAAAACCATCTTTTCATGGCACAGGAGGCTTAGCTTTAGATAAGCGCTCATTAACAAATGCACACAATGAGATACACTGATGTTTAAGGGTGAGTACTCACGTGTCTCCAAAGAAAAACTGAGACGTCCCCAGTCTGTGTGACAGGAGATTGAGACACTCCTTGGCGTCTCTGTAAATCTAGTTAAGAGGGAAAGCACATGTGAGAGGTGGGCGCAGTGCCTGGCCTCCGCAGGCAGTGAGTGGCCAGGTGCGCCCAGCAGCTCACCTGGGCCTCCACCTCCTTCAGCTGGTAGAGCGGGGGCACGCCCTTCGTCAGCAGAATCCTGTCCAGCGCCCCCCTGGACATTCTTCCAGGCAGGATCAGACTCAAGGGGAAAGGAATCCGGGAAGCGAACCACGGCTTCGTCACAGTGAAGTAGTTGTCACTCTCAACCCAGAACGTGTGAAGCTGCAGAGGGACCAGGAAGACAACACAAGCGCGCCCCGTCACCAAGAGAGAAGGCGTCAGGAGCGCGCCCCGTCACCGAGAGAGAAGGCGTCAGCAGCGTGCCCCGTCACCGAGAGAAAGCTCCCTCCATCAGCATGAAAGTTTTCCATCAGAATCTCTATCTACAAAGTGCGCTTTGTATAAACTGTACTAATTTTCCAGCCAGAATGACTCAGGATGAAAGTTTTATATATATATACTTATATTTTTTTAATTGAAATATTTTATTTTATTGGAATATATTTTGTTGGAATCTTTTATTTTTTATTTTATTGGAATTATATATACATATATACGTGTATATATATAATTGGAAAGGCTTATTTACGGAGAGGAGACACAGAAAGTTCTGTCCACTGGTTCACTCCCCAATGCCTATAGCTGAGCTTATCTGAAGCAAAGAGCCTCCTGCAGGTTTCCCAGGCAGGTGCAGGGTCCCAAGGCTTTTGACCGTTCTCCACTGCTTCCTAGGCCATGAGCAGGGAGCTGGGTGGGAGGTGGAACAGCTGGGACATGAACCGGCACCCATATGGGATCCTGGTGTTTGCAAAGCAAGGATTTAGCCGTTGTGCCGGGCCTGAAACAATTATTTTAAATGTGTAAGTTTCACTGACTGATGTATCGTAGTCCCTGGAACAAGGTCTGATATGACTTTGGGACTCAGTAAGTTTTTGCTGATGAGTGACTATGGCCTACGACACCCTCTACAGAGAATTCGTACTTTCAAGATGACTTGTACGTTCACATCTCACATTCAGGTGGAACTCTGACATGTAGGAGAACCGAGCCGATGCCAGAGTGCAGAGCGAGTCCCCCTCCTGAACTGACCAATCCCATGCGGCCCAGGATTGCTCACCACGGCAGGCAACAGCCTCTCTTCCAGGAGTGCGACATATGCCAGTGTGTCTGCACCTTGCTTTGCGGTCAAGTCGAAGTCTGCGTTGTATTTCTAGGAGAAAACAGACCCAGAAAGCATTGGAGCCAGACAGCACCCAAGTCCAGAACACTACACAAATGGCACACATCATGTGGAAAGAAGAGAGTGACAGAACTTGGGGAAAATGGCTGCTTACTGCCCATGTTCTTAGCATGGCATCAGATACATAGGTAGCTAAGAGGTGCGTAGGGACCCTTTTTATTAGTACTGCTATCTCAGTGTTTGCTAACGATCTTTTTGGTGCTGGGGACACAATGCAAACTTAATAAGTATAAGCAATAATTACTTTTAACAAGAAGGCAAAAGTTCCAACTAGTTGCATTTTTTTCTTCCAGTCTGGAAAACTCTCAAATTTAACCGACACATTTCAAGTATCAACTTGAAATCAAAGGCAACTGTCAGATCAGGGGCTTTTTAAAAATATATTTTCACACCTTTAAACATTTTGGATGCATTATCCAAATCCTTACACATTCAGTGTATCTGGATCCGATATTTCACAACAACTTCAACTACCACATCAGAGTAGCAGCTTGAAAATAGCTACTACTGAAAGGGAACCAGATATCACACTCAGCACAAACTACATAACAGCTCTTCAACTCAACAAAGTATAATGCTCAAAATGGCTACATTGCTTTTTGTACATGTTGCAGTAGCATCCAAGCAAAATATACAAGGACAAGTCATCAGCAGGTGACTTTTCAAATTATACTAAAACTTGTACTTTACACCAGGCATTCTCAAGTCTATTTTTCATCAAACTCCAGATATCTCAAATGCAGTGAGTTGCCAAGAAAGAAGAAAAGAGTCTGAAATACAAAGTACAAAAACAACAACAATACAATGTATTTTTAAAGAAAAAGTAACATGCAGAGAACAACCATCTACAGGCCCACCCACCTGTTTTCGTAAAAAGTTTAGTATCTTTGCAGGCTGACAAACGATGCTGTCTTCAGCTGTCAAAATGGGTACGTCGCCTACAACCAAAAGGCAATTTACACACACACACAAACACTGTGATGTCTTTAGAAGAGTTTCCAACCCTTTGAAAAAGCTACACCAATTATACATGCAGAAGGGAAAGAATGAGTAAGCTCATCTTTTTTTTTTTATTCCCCATCTAACAAAAGGGCAGCTCTAGCGAACATGTCCGTTTCTCACAGTTTCCATGGACTTGGCTGGCACGCCAAGTGACTTCTTACTCAGAACGACCAAACCACGAGAGGTGGGCACAGCCAAGCCTGGGGAGGCGGGATGGCGGGAGCAGCGTCCAGGAGCCCCCCACCAAGGCGCCCTAGGGGTGACAGGCTGTACATGGGGAAATAACGCAGAGTAGAAGGGGCTACCTCGTGGGCCTCTCCAGGTGCTGTCTATGATGTTAACTTTCAGGGGCGCCCCAGAAAACTTGGCATAAGCCTGCAACAAGAGTTTGCAAGGAAACGTTGTAACCCGAGAACACACAAGGCCAACCCGCGGGGCAGGTGCACCTGACAGCCCTTGGGGCGCGCGCACCTGCGGCCAGCTCCGGGGGGACACAGGGGGAGACCCCGGGGCTCCTCGTTCCCGCCCCCACCCCCAACCCCAGACAGCCCGAGGCTGCAGGAGGAAGCCCGGCGAGCGTGCTCAGGCCACAAGAACTCCCACTAGGCTCCCGCCCTCGTTTCTTCCCGCCACCCCCGGCCCGCGAGGTGGCCTCACCATCACCACCAGGGATTCGCTGTGGACCGAAGGGAGACCCCAGCCGCCTCCCCAGCAGCTGAGCTCCAAGGGGGCCGCCATCTTGCCGGGGCCCCGACCTCTGCTGCCCCGGAAGCGCTGTCGCGGCTCCCACTTCCGGCAGGTGGAAGCGCGAGGGCGGGCCGAGGGGCTGCGGAGGACCGCGGGGGACCCCGGCTAGAGGCGCGAGGGACGCCCCGAGAGTCGGCGACCCCGAAGTGGAGCCCGAGCCGGAGTCGGCGGAGCCCTCAGTCCCGCCAGGCGCCTGCCGCACGTCCCGCCAGACCTGCTGCCGGTAAGTCTGTTTCCTGACAGGGTTGTATTGGGAATGGCGACGCGGGCGCCCCGGCCGGGTTCCGGCCCAGTTCAGGGAGTCTTGGAAGACCCGACGGGGCAGGCCGTGCCGGGGTGGGGTCCCCTTCCCTGCTGGGGTCGGCCGCCCTCGGCTGCAGTCCTTCGTGGGTCCTACTCGGACCCTTGGGGCTATTGAACGCCGGGTAAATATTTCTTGAATATAAAACCCCACCCTTATATATGTGTTTTAAATACTTAGGTGTTTGAGCGGTAGAATTAGAGAAATCTTCCATCCACATGGCCGCCACGCGTCTCCCACGTGGAAGGCAGGGACCCAAGGACTTGGGCGGCCACTTTTCCAGTTAGCTTTTTTTTTTGGAAAGTAACATAAAACGCTCTATTGGGGGGACGCAGGATATAGTCAAACAGGCCGAACCCCATGTCGTCCTTCTTATTCTCCTTCTCTTCCGCTGCTGCAGGGGCTGCACCAGCAGCCGGCTGCGGATCCCGGGGCAGCGGACTCGGCCACAGCCCCTCCAGCGGGCACACTGGCCAGCTTGCCAATGCCTGCCGGAAGACCGAGTGAGCTGGCCTGCACACACATGCCCCATGTGTGTCCCGAGTCCAGGACATGCCCACATGTGCATCCACTGACGCCTGGGACCAGGGAACCTAGTGGGGGTGGCCTAGGCTCCAGTCACTGGCAAGAGGGACAGCAGGACTTTGTGACCAACACCCTGCTGGAAGCTCACGGGCCAAAGGACCATGGTCACTGGGCCCCCTCCTTCCTCTCATCCCAGGGCCTGGCAGGAGATTTCCAGTAACCCTGCCAGGCCTGTGGCCACACCAGCCGCCCTGTGAGCACACACACACACCCCCCCCCCCCCCCCCCCGTACCCACGGCTGTGGGAGAGGCCCACATGCTCTAGTCCACCAGCGAATCCAGTTAGCTTTAACAGGGAGCTGGATCCAAAGCTGAGCAGCCAGGACCCCAGCTGGCACTCATGGGGGCTCATTGGGGTTGCAGCACCAGCCCCAATCACCAGCAATTTCTCAGAAAAACTTTTAAAGAGGAAACAAACAGGTGTGGGCAAGCATGACCCAGGTCCCTTGGGATCCCAAAGCTGTGGCTCGTGAATCTTTTTTCTGAAAGTTCTGGTAGTTTTTCTGGGTGGCCCTCCCTCCACTACACATACTCACACCTGCCCTGAGTCCCACCGAGCTTGGACCCATCCCCTTCAACAATTGAAAACCCCAAGGAAGTCCCTGGTCTAGTCCACAGTCATGTGCTGGCGCTCCTTTACTGCAGACATGGCATGTGGCCTGCAGTGCCTGTTGGCTAAAGACTTTTCATGTAACAGGGGCTCCTCCTTCCCAACCCCAGAGAGCCCGAGGCTGCCGGAGGGAACCCCAAGTTCTCTGAAGTGTGTCAGAGATGACATGTGTTTGGCAGCAGCTGTGGCCACAGCGCTCAAGCTCTGGGAGAATAGAGAGGGAAGAGGTGAGTTCTCTTCCAGGAGTTTGTAATCGGCGGAGGAGACACAGCACAGGGCAGGAACAAGTCAGGCCGTCACTGGACACTCACAAAGGCACGTCCTCTGGAGGCTGTGGATGGTGTCTGAAGAGTCCAGAGAAAAGAAGGTAGCTCAAGTGTCAGGTTCAAGTAATGGGCCTTCTTGTTTCTGGGTTATCCCAAGCTGTAAAGCTCCATGTGTGTTTAGTGCAGGCTGGATATATTATAGTAGACATACCCAGAGCCTAGGGTATTCCCAGACGGCGTGTGCAGGTGCGTTGGGGGGGAGAAGGTGGGGAGAGGTCAGGAGGCCATTTTTTGTGTCAGTGTGACTGTCTGCCTCCCTGCCGCCATTACATGCAGTGGTTTTCTTTGCATTAAGAAGTGAACTCTTCCCTTGGGGCTGGGCTGAGATGGAGAGTCCTGCACCACTGCATGCAGCTGGAGGACGTGCCCACAGAGGTGCCTTGTGCCCGGTGCCCAGCATCTGTCAGCGCTGGGATTCCTCCGCAGAGCCCACATTTGCTAGATGGGATGTTAAGCCTTAGAGTAGCTGATTGCACAACAGGGTTGAGGATTGTTCCAGAGAACCCGTGTGGAAATCCGAAACCTTCAGAAGCCATGCCTGGTATGGGCGGTTGGGCCCTGCGCCTTTTCCTGGCTGCTGCAAAATCATTTCAGATTCCTACATGATCTGCAAAATGTTCGTGGGTGTGTGAGACGGCCTGAATCAGCTTCGTGATGAGTATTCCAGACTGTGTTTTCCCTGAAAAAGACATCTTATTTTTTAAAAGATGAACATTGAAAATGACTTCATCTGGTGCTAGTCACCTGAGCTCAGGGGACCAGGTCCTGGCACTATGCCTGTTCCTGTTAGGTGTATTAACGTAGAGGTTATGATGAGGGCACTGCTAGGATCTCATGGTCTGGATGATGGAGAAGCTGTGTCAGGGTTGTGATTGGTCATTGTGCCGTGTGGTCCATTGTGGGAGGTTAAGCCGGAGAGCCGTGGAGGTGCCTATGGGCCTTAAGGTGCTGTGGCTGAGTCCCGTGCTCAGGTGTGGAGTCTTAGGGAGGAAGGCAACAGCTGTTGGCTCAAAGGCAGTGTGGCTTCCTGGCTTGACTTGGTTAGCCCTGTACCTGGGAGCTGGTCCCTCAGCTCAGGCTCCTGTTGCCCTAGGAGCTGTCACTGTGTGGTAAACACTCAGCAGGCACTGGCATCTGTGGAACCAGAAGTTGGCTTAAGTATTGGACGTCACTCGTTGAGTCTTCACAGTGAGTCCTCGTTGGAGGTAACCATCATTTCCTGTTATTTTCAAGGAGGGACCATCAACATACAGATGTGAAAAGACTTTCTGAAGGTCACACAGCCACAAGGTGGGAGAGCTGGGATTTGAACCCAGGCAGTCAGGCTCTGAAGCACTGAATGAGTATCCTGCTGTCCCCATAGCCTTCTAAGTAGTTGATGTGGAAGTCCAGATGTTCTCATGGTGGCACTGTTGCTGCCATGATGTCACCATCATGACCTGAGTCATGTTTGTGTAGCATTAAGCCTTTCAATAAATTCATTAAACAACTGCCGTGCGTCCCGCGCCCTACATTGCAGTCTGGGGATTCACACTCAAAGGATGGCTAATGCAACAGGTCTCTTGTTTGAGATCACCAGAATCTGATAGGAGGTGGCGTTTGGCTTGCTCTGGCTTTAAAGAAGTGCCTTAGCAGTTCTGCAGTGCTTGGCAAAGGTCCTATGAAAGAAGCAGGCCGCTAGCTGACCTTTAAGCATAAATCCTTGGAATCAGAGTAGCTCACAAGAAGGCCTCCACATTGACCATGCTGCATTGGCAAGGGTGTGGAAATGAGGGGGACCCTGCCAAGGATCTGAAGAGAAGTGAGCAGATGCTATTAAATGGGAAATTTCTCTAGGCCTGTGGTTCTTGGAGGTGCAAGGGACAGGGACCTCACCTGGGTGTGGACTTCTTGCAGGCAGTGTTTAGAGGTGGAGCGCAGCCTGAGAGGAATATGTTGGGCCATGAAAAAAGGCGAACATTTTAGAGAACACGCCAGCATTTCCTAAAAAGTCAGGGGAACGGGCGACTGCTGAGCACGTGTGCAGTCAAGTTTGTATTGAGGAAGTCCAGCATAATTGCATTAAAATTCCATCTCAGTGAGGTTGGTTCCAGAATGGAAAGGGGTCCATTTGCATTTTGCCGTTTGTGGAGGTCTGATCATCAGGGCCAGAGCAGGATGGCGAAGGAGGGACAGGGCCCTGAGAATTGCCTGAGGAACTGAAGGGTGAAACACAAGTTTCAGTACTGTCCAGCTTGATGTGTACAGTGGCTTCCTGCACAGTGACTTTGGTGCCCAGGAGTGTAATGGGGACCAGGTTCTTTCACTGACTTGGCAGCTACACCAGGCCACCAGGCAGTGGTCAGTCTTGGAAGATTCATGTTGCTGTGGCAGCCTGGGAACCTTCTGTCTCAAATACAGCAAAAACTAAGATGCTGTCCTTGACATGATACTCAGTTTATGTTGAGAAAACAACGTAGTTACTCTTAAAAGTAGAGAACCGGGTAAAGGACCCTAAACAAGAACCTTCGCTCAAAGTGGCAGGTCAGCACTAGGCTGTGTCGACATGCATGTTGATTGTAGCACCAAGGGAAGCCACTAAGGAAGCCACTGCAGCAATCTACACCCAAAACACTAAACCCACCAAAGCAGAATGTCTTTAAGGCCCACACAACCCAAAAGCAGGCATGTGCACCCATGTGTGTGGGGATGAGGAGACGGTGATACACTCGCTGAGAAGAAACAGAAAACAAATAGTGACAAATACAAGCCTAAAATACCAGTGATTGCTCTAAATGTAATGGTCCAAATGCACTAGTGAAAAGGCAGAGATTAAGTGTAAATTTAAAAATGCCAACCAAATATACACTATTAATAGGAAACTTCTTTCCAGGTTGGGACCAGGTCTCGCCGCTACGTGGGCTGCCCACTGTGCAACTCGGTCAGCCGGGATCACCTGTGATTGGTGTTCAGGGCTGCTCTGCACACAAACTGAAGCCTGACCTGTCCTCACCGGCTTGCAAGCAGAGCAACTGCCTTCTTTCTGCTCCCCCCGACTCGGAAAGCCAAGGTAGGACCCCGGGTGCCAAGGACGTGTGTCCAATGCAGGACTCTTCACTGTCCTGCCAGTGAACAAAGAAACGTGGACCCTCTGCCACCTCTAGGTATTGCAGCTGCACAGTCCCAGCAGCTGGCACCTGGTGGCCTTCTGACTGCAGGGAGGTGACAGCAGAGTCCCCTAGATACTGATTGGCTCCTGGGCCAGCAGCGTGTGAGATGGGACGTACGTCGAAAGACAAGCGGGATGTCTACTACCGCCTGGCCAAGGAGAACGGCTGGCGTGCCCGCAGCGCCTTCAAGCTGCTGCAGCTGGATGAGGAATTCCAGATCTTTAAGGGTGTGACACGGGCTGTTGACCTGTGTGCAGCCCCAGGCAGCTGGAGCCAGGTTCTGAGCCGGAAGATTGGGGCCCAGGGGCCTGGCCGAGTGGTGGCTGTGGACCTACAGGCTATGGCTCCACTGCCAGGTGTGATCCAGATCCAGGGGGACATCACCCAGCTGTCCACTGCCGAGGAGATCATCCGGCACCTGGAGGGCTGCCTGGCGGACCTGGTGGTGTGTGATGGGGCTCCCGATGTGACTGGGCTCCATGACGTTGATGAGTACATGCAGGCCCAGCTGCTCGTGGCGGCTCTGAACATCGCCACACACGTCCTAAAGCCAGGAGGCTGCTTCGTGGCCAAGATCTTTCGCGGCCGAGATGTGACACTTCTCTACAACCAGCTGCGTGTCTTCTTCCCCAGTGTTCTGTGTGCCAAGCCCAAGAGCAGCCGCCACTCCAGCATCGAGGCCTTTGCCGTCTGCCAGGGCTACGACCCTCCCGAGGGCTTCCGGCCAGACCTGAGCCAGCCCCTGCTGGGCCAATCCTACGATGTCAGCCAGCTGGCTGGGCCCACCCGCGTCATTGTGCCTTTTGTCATTTGTGGGGACCTCAGCGCCTATGACTCGGACTGCAGTTACCCACTGGAGCAACAAGATGGCTCTGAGCATAAGTACAGCCCCCCCCACAGAACCCCCCTTCCCTCTCCCACGCCAGGGGGCCTGTGCGTTGAAGAAGGGATGGATAGCCAAAGAGTTCCACCCTCAGGCCTATCCCGGCAACAGAGTGGACATGTGGTCCCAACCCCTGGCCACCCCTCAGTACCACATCCTGCTTGCCCCTAGATGGCAGATAGTAAGACTGAAAAGGATTGTTCACATTCCATTTGCTGACAGTCTGATAAAAACACTGACGCTGCTCGGTACCAGGAAAGACAAATTGTGAGTTGATCCTAGTAACAAAATCATGTCAACTGTGGGCCTGAGCAAACAGGGCACAGGTTGGAGTTTGCAGTGGCCACCACAGGGACGCGAGGAAAGCAGCAGAATATAGGTGTGCGGGATTCCTGATGGGCCCTGCCTCTTGTCTGCCTCTGCCGAGGTGTGCTTATGTCCACAATTTCCCCAGAAAATAGATTTGTAGCCTGCATAAAGGATAGCTGTGAGTGACGGAGGAAATCCCACTTACTTTGATGAATGAATGAAATTTAGCTTGATTCCCAGTTATAAATGCTGGCAACAAATCACAGTAGAAAAAAAGCATCACCTTCAATTTTCCCACCAATACAAAAAACCCTTATTTCATGTTACAGTTGGAGGTATATAACAATATTATTTATATTTGTCATCACTGTGAATGATAGCAGATTTCATAATTTGATGTCCTAATGAAAAAGAACCACTCCCCCTCCAAAAAAAAAGCTTAATCCAACGTAAACATGTAAGTAGGTTGAAGATAAAAAGATGAAAAGACTTTATATCATGAAAACATTAGTCAGGAAGGAAAAGCATGTGTGGATATACCAACATCAGAGACGAAATTTAAAGGCGAAGTGATTGCTATGGACAAGCAGGACATTGCATTGCTCCGTCAAGAAGACAGCCATGCTGAATGTGTGCACCAAGAAACAAGGCTTTAAGAGGCACTGTTGATGATAATGGAGGAAGAACTGGTCTGTAACCATAGTTGAATAGCCGCATCCCCACCCTCAGCAGTGGATGAAACTGCTGGACAGAGAGTAAGTGAAGTTGCAGGTGAATTGAACAGGACCAAGTGAACATTTAAGACCGTTCCACCCAACATGAACACAGGTCCTTTCCGTACACCCCTGGAACATTCTCCAGCTTTAAACTATCTTATGTCAGAGAGCAAATCCCAACTGGAATTTGTAAAATTCGTAGTTAATTTACTCTCTGATGACGCTAAAATCAAGTTAGAAAGTAATCAGTAACAGAATCAGAATAGCCAAACCCTTGGAAATTAAACAGTATAATTTCTACTTGCAATTAGTGGATCAAAGAGTCTCAGTGGAGAAAGAAATGCATTCGGAAGAATGATGATAGAGATACAGTATACCCCAGTAAGAGAATGAAGAGTTAGGCCACAGTCTGGGAGAGCTTTTCAAAGTACATACTTAGGCAAGGACCACTGTCTATAATATACAAGAACTCTTAACACTCAACAGAGGAACAAACAACTACGTCTATATAAACATACTTCACCAAAGGGGATGTGTAGGTGGGGAAACATCTGGAAAAGCAATCTGTATCATTTGTCTTTATGGAATTACAAGTTAAATCAACAGTGGGATGTCACCATGCACCTGTTAGGATGGCTGAGATAGGAAAAATTGACAGCACTTTACTCCTTTGCAGGATATTCAACAACAGTTACTGCCGGGGAGTACAAAAGTGCCGAGGCGGCTCTGCAGTGTCTTCCAGAGCCAGACATTGTCCTGTGTTAGGGACTGGATTATTCCCCTCCAAGGAGAGGCTTAGGAGTCCTACCCCAGGACCTGTGAGTGGGACTATGAGATCGTGTGGAATTAGGATAGGTCCCCCCGCCCCCACCTGGCATTCCTAGGGGACGGGAGGCAGACACACAGACCACAATGCACGAAGCTAAATGAAGACAGAGTCTGTGAAACTGTCTAATCTAGTTCGACATTCTGGAAGCTGCAGAGCCCTAGAGACAGGTTTAAAAAGCAGGGCCTGCCAGGGCTCTCTGAGGGAGTGGAGGCTGGGAGGGTGGAGGCTGAGAGGTGAAAGACTGGGCGCTAGGGAGGGCGGGCTGGTTCCCTGTAGTGGAAATGTGCTATGCCTTTGTCTAAACTCATGGAATTGTACAGCACAAAGCGAGACTTTTAATGAATGTAAAATGAAGGAATAGCTTAGGTGGTTGGGGGCTTTCAGGGTGGGGTGCAGACTGTGATGGAAGAATCTGTGATTCCCTAAAAGTGCAGTGGTGGTGACCCAGGTAACCCTGGAAAAGAGTGTAGCCTTCCAGAGTGAGGGTCAGAGTGGCGCAGGAGCTCTTTGCTCTGGCTGCTCTCTGTGTTCCCCAGAGAGAGGGTATGAATTTCTGCCCAGCCCTGCATGTACACACTCATGGACTGATTGGATGCGGGTGGTGGGAGAGGGCACCTGCGTAAAGTACAGACGTCTGAACCAAGTGTGGACTTCAGCCATAGTGCAACAGTGCTGTCTGTTAACTGCACATGAACCGCCAGTGGGAGATGCAAAAGAACTTGTGAAGGAGCTGAAAAGGCAGAAGACTGACTTGGATAAACCACGTGTTTGGCAGATGATTCATCTGGAACATACAAAGGATCCTCAAAACTCAGCAATACAGTAAACAACATGCTGCTTTATGACCCAACAATTGCAATGCTGGATTTATCCAGAAAAAAATCTATGTTAAAAAAAAGTAAGCCATGTACGCAAGCATTCATAACAGTTTTACTTTTGATTGCCCAAAATAAGAAACAGCCTCAGCATCCTTGACTAGGTAGATGGTTAACTACAATGTGGAATACCATGGACTGCTACCCAGCAATAAAAAGAAGCAACCAGTTGTTGCATACAACTCAGATGGATTGTGAGAATTATCAAGGTAGATTTAAAAAGCCCATCTCAGGAAGTTATATATTGTACAATTACACTTATGTAATATTCCTGAAATAATATGAGAGGAAGCAGTTGAAGGATTCCAGAGGTCGGGGATGTGGTGTGGACGGGGATGGCTGTGGCCATCAAGTGATGCTCAGAAGAGCTGTGGAAATGAGACGCTTCTGCGTGTTGACTGTTGACAGCGGCTGCACAATTTCATGCATGTGATAAAATCGGATACAACTACATGCAGGCACAAATGAGTGCTTGTGACTGCTGGAGCAAGCTCTGTGACTTGTACCAAAGGAGAATTCCTGCTTGTAATATGTGGCTCTGGTTCTATGACGTGCGACACTGGGGAGGACAGTCCAAGGAGGTATACAGAACTTACTTTATACATGAGTGTTACAAATTTCTATGAATCTGTGCTGAGTTGAAAATAAAAGCTATTTTAAAAAATTAAATTTGAGGTCATGGTGTGTGATGCAAAAACGGGTTCATGGAATACTGTCACCTTTAACCTCAGGCCGTGAAAGATGTGCAGCGTCTGTGTCCATGGAGCTTTGCCAAAGACTTGCTTTCTAATGTTTGAAGCATTTAAGTGTTTTCTCAGAGGTGGTGCTGAACAGTGTCCAGCGGAATGGACAGGTGGGGACAAGGAAGTGCCCAGGGCACCTGCCAGCCCCAGGACTTCCCATGGCACCGCTGGGTCACAATCAGCCTTAAAAACCCCAGGAGTCCTCAACATGACCCGCTAACCCTCCAGCATTCATTCCTTCTCTCTGTCTCTGTATATATATATGTATATACACGTGTGTATATACATATAGCCAGATTTACTGGGGGAAAAATAGGAAATTCACACGTCATATTTCATTGTGGTAATTGAAAAGTTATAGCTACCACTGGTAGCAATCACATGTCTTGCTTATAACTTCATTGACCAATGTGCAAAGAGGGAAGCAAGGAGGGGAGGGGAGGGACGGGAGGCAGGAGACAGAGCTGGCCTCGAACCTGCCAGGTCAGGGCTCCCACCTTGCCGTGGAGGGTCCCACCAGTGGCAGCCCACTTTGAACTTGTCTCACAAACAGCAGGCTGAGGCAGCTACTCTCGCCCCCCCGACCACCCAGCCATGAGGTAGTCACAGCCACTTTAAAGCAGTCCTCCCCACACCCGCAGTGCAAGTAGACAGGGAGTACAGTCCCCTCCAGCGGATAGGCAGCGTCTGTTCAGAGTGAGCGGGGAGAAGCTCTCACGTGCATCCCTCGGGACGCCAGCAGATGCTGCAGACAAATTCAACAGCAAAGTCCCACCTGGCTCCAGAACCCCTCCTGCCATTAGAGTGTGAGTTACGCACAGGTGGTCCGCGTAGTCCACTCCCCAGCAAGTTCTTGTTCCATAACCACAAACAGATGGGGGAGAACTCATGAGAAGCTCCCCCCACATGCGTCGTGGGCTTGTTCAAAGCACAGCTGGGCGCAGGGAGACAGGAGGCTCGTCCCCAAGTCCAGGGGAGACAACGTGGAAGAAGAGGAAGTTTTCCAGTGAGCTTGGATTGCCTGGGGCCTGAAGAGGGGGCACGGGCTAGCCAGACCCCCGACACACGGCTGTGCTGCTTTGTTCTGAAGTCTTTCTGAACCTCAAGGTCATGTGCTGTTCTGGCTGGTAGGACTTCTGGGCATGGGAGGTGCCTTCCTTCACCAGGGGCCAGCCTGAGAGCAGAGCTGTCTGCTGAGGTGCTGCTCGGGGTTGCCTTCACAGTCAAACATACCCATATTGCAGGGAAACAGACAAGCTTAGGGTGATGACTGAGCTGTACAAAGCTGCTCTTCTGATTCTGTGGTAGGGGGTAGCAGCCCCCATCCTCGGGGCCCGGGAGCAGGACCCTGTCCCTGGCAGGCATCCCCATGGACCACCTCCCAGGGTTTGTTCCGGGGATGGCTCTGTGTCTTGCCCCCTTGTTGTCCAAGTCACTCTATTGGAACCTTGTTATGCCTTACCTAGTACCACCCTCCATTCCTTTCTCCAGCCGCTGGGTTTGATTTAGAAATTCCAAGAAATACAGCCATGAACCCATAGATGGAGGATTAGAAGAGTGTTTGTCATGGGGCAGAGCTGCCTTCTGCATTCTGCAGCCCTGTGAGCTGGAAACAGAGAGAAGCTTAACCCTTGGCTTAACCCTTGGGTCAGGAGGCCCCAGCCTAAATGCAGGCTACCTCTGGTACTTTTTTTTTTTGCTTGTCTCTTAACTCCTTTTTGTGAATATTTATTCTGGTGCCTTGATACCACTAAACAGATTATCAAAGGAAAAAAATTGCAAATGCATTGATTTTCATAGTAATATTCACCAGCTGATCACACTTTGGCAAAAAGTAGTGGGTTGTGAATTTCTTAAAGTTTAGCAGCTTGTAAGTTGTATGTGTAACAAAATAAGCATATAGTTAAAGGTTAATTTAATTAGTAAATGTGTAGCTAGCTGCACAAATTGTACTTAGAATTTCACTTCCCAGACCTGACAGTTGCGTGACTAAATGGAGGTATCCCAGGCCTGTTGTAACAGACTCAGATCATAAAGCATCTGACTTCATAGTGGGCCTGGTACAGAGGGGTGAGGGCTAGAAATGAACTCCGGGCAGAGGAGGCTGTGAGGGCCAGGTCCTGGCTACGTCGGTGGGCAGCTGACATCTGCTTTCCACGTGGCCTGTGCCATGCAGCGGGCAGCTCTGATTCCTGCTGTGTGCCTGGCCGTAAGGCAGTCCCAGCTCGGGGCCAGAGGTCGGAGCTGGGGCAGGTCGTTCTGTAGAAGGGAGGTTCCAAGTGCCCAGGCCCTGGGATCACGGTACCGTCCCTCAGGATGCCCTTGACCCTCCATGTCCACCTAAATGAGCAACCCATCTGTCTCCTGCCTCTGTCAGCTGCACCACTGACCTGCCAGGTGGGCGGGGTGGCTCCGTGTGTGTGTTGGGCAGGGGCTGGGCAAGCTGTGTCCTGTGCATTGTCAGATGTCCAGCAGTGCATCCCCTCATTGTCGTGATCAGAAGTGTCCCGAGGTGCACAGAAGGGGACTGTTTGGAGGAAGAGGCCTCTTTCTGATCACCTTCGGGTCAGTAGGGGCCGTGCTTTTAGGAAGAAAGGAGACAGCCATGCATCCCCAAGTTCCTCATTTTTTACAAACAGGTTTACCTTGGGCCCCCATACTCCTTGTTTAACAGTGTTTTGGGAGGCATGCCAAGGGAGGGCTGGGGGCATGGGGTGGTTTTGCAGCCCAGAAGCTGCTGTGTACTGCAGCAGCCCCCGTCCCAGGCTCTGGAAAGCACACGCACAGGATGAGAGGCTCAGGTTCCCTGGGCGGCCTCTGTCCAGAGGCAAGAGAACAAGAGAACACTCAGTGCGGAGGCAGACGGCTCTGGAGAAGCAGAGGAATGGAGAGGCCAACCTGGCCACCCAGGTGCAGAATCCTTGGGTGTCCACTATGTCCAGCTGCCCCAAGATGCACCAAGAAAAACGGTGTGCACTTTGGTTTTTCAGGAAATAATGTGGTTGTGAATTTTGCTGAGATATCATTGCTCCCTGTTTCCCAAGAAAACATACGCATGTTTAATTGGCTGTCAAAAGCCAGAGAGCCAAGCGTTGGCGCATACCCGGGGGAAGTCTTTAAAGAATTAACCTTTCCCGTCTCCATGCTCTGGTTACCACTCCCCAGCACACAGGGAGAATCGCTAGCAGCTCCTGCTGCCAAGGAATTCTCAGCATAATCCCACTTTGGACCGCCAGGTTGGAGTGAAAAACCAAGTTGGCGTCCAGGAAAGAGAGACTCAAAAACACAGTGGCTCCTACAAGATTCCCAAGAGAATGTGCAAGCTTTGACTCTGCCGTTTAACATTTGAAATCTACATCTCAGAAAAAGTTATTTTAATTGAGTCATCCTAGCTGAATCCAGGAGGCAAACACCCCCGCTGCGTCACTTTGTGGAAAACTGTATCAAGGTGGCTCTCCGGAAAGGGCCTATGGTCCTCCTGTTGGAATGCTCAGGGTCCAAAGATCCAGCCGAGACCACCAGGCCAAGCTCACCACATGTCCTCAACTTCGAGGGGCCCAGCAGAGCAAGTGGCCCCAACACAAACTCGGAACTGGAAGGGCTTAGGAGAAGGTGCAGGTGTGTGGAGAGCAGCAATGTGCCCTGTGTGGGAGGGAATGCTGGGTGCAAGCCCTAAATCCAACCCAATTGTAGCTTCCTGCTAATTATGTGTCCCCGGAGGCAGCAGTGATGGCCCAGGCCTTTGGGTCTCTGCCAACCACATGGGAGAGCAAACATTGAGGTCCAGGTTCCTGACTTGGCCAAGACCTGATTGTAGCAGGCATTTGCAGATCGAACTTGTGGATGGAAGATTTCGCTGACTTTCTCTAACTTTCAGATGAAATGAAAATGAGCAGAAGTCGATATAAGTGGTTATCTTTAATAAATAAGCAAGGAAAAGCAGCCTGGTGTGTGTCACCAACACAGACTAAAATCCCAGCCGTCTGGCTTGTCAGGCCAGGGCAGGAGGCAGGGTTGGTATGAGGGCAGCTCCACAGCAGTGCTGTGCACAGGTGAGGAACTTGGCAAGTGCTGCTGAGTGACAGCTGTGATGGTGGCCACTCCACGCCCCACGTTGAGACTCCTTGGCAGAAACGTCCCCAAGGCAGGAATCAGGCCCTGAGCCCTGTAACACAATACTGGGGAGAGTCCCCTGTGGCCGGGAGCCTGACAAAGCCCTGCTATCTCTAAGGAGGGAGCGGGCCTGGCTTTAACACAGGCATGCCACCTCCATGGGGAGAGAAGGCCTTCTGTGTCACAGGTGACACAGGTGTGATGTGGCCTCTGGCAGATGTGACACGGTCCCCAAATGCACTGTGACTCGGAGGAGACGAAACTGTCCCAGCAGAGGTAGAGGGACTCCAGTAAGCAGCATCTATCTCATTTGGTGGAGCCACAAGCAGCCAGGGAGCCCTGGGCCCATCGGGGTTGTGGCCGGTGACTGCAAAAAGAGGGGAAAGTTACTGCCAGCATTGTTTATGACTGGGTGGGGATTGTGGCCCCAGACACAGACTGGTTCTAGTGCCATGGCAATGAGGCTGTGAACTGGACTGGTGAAGACACTACCACCTAAC